TCGCTTTCACGTCGGATTAAAAAAGAGTAAAAAAAAAAAATAACTAAATCTCTTACCGAGCTCGACTGAAGAACCTGATAGGTCAGCGTCATTCTCGTTTTTCCGGGCTGATGAAATCCCGTGATTCAAAAGTCGCTTTTCCTCCCAACAATTCACCTCCCTTTTTCCACATATCACCGGTAAAAAAAATTCCCGATCCCGTCGTTCGCGATTTTCCAATTTTCCCGATTTCCCGATCAATCACTGTCTCGTCAAGACCCGGATAATCCAATTTTTAGAAACATTTTTAACAAGAGAATAATTAAAATCAATAATTATACCGATGACTCAATTTATCAATTATTTTAAATTTTGTTTTAATCAATTATATAATTATTATAATACAATAATCATTGTTATTGATTACGCCTGGGAGAGAGAGGAATTAAATGATGGAATTATTAATTAATTGAAATAATGAATGGTTGCGATGAATTTTAATATTAATTATAAGTCCCGTGATTCTCGAGTGACTGGTCGGGACTGTCTCGTGACTCGAAATATTCGATTCGAGGCCTCAGATTTTTCGAGATTTTTCTCTTTATTATTTGAGAGTGGGGGGGGAGGGACAATTAGATCCGATTTAACGCGCAATTCCACGGGATCTCGATCATGTGTTCACACTGTTCCACTAATGAACCGTTACTAATGATTCGCGTTCGTAAGCAATGACCAGGTGCCTGGCTTTATCAATCTTATCACTATCTATTCATTTCCCATCATGGGGGACATCAATAGGGGTTATTCACTGGTTTTCCCTCCGTTTTTACGGTGCCAAGGGGTGAAAACCATTTTCATCCCCTGAGACATAATTTTGGGATTACTCAACAGTTTTTCTACTACTGGAAATTTATTTATTTCATTTATTCCGTCTTTCACTGTCAAAATTATTACTATTTTTTCAGCTGCAAGGATAATAAATAAATAAATAAATGTAGCTGTTGGGAAATTATTGTCTTGAATATTGTAATTTAATTTCAATTATTTTCCGTCTCCGGACTTTCGGGGAATTTTGTTTTTCATGGAAAATCTTTTTTTTTCCACGAGTTTTGTAATAAATAATAGGAAATTATCGCTTTTTCGATGGGGAAAAAACAGAAGGTTTGCCAATAGTCGAAAAAAATCGAATAGAGTGTAAGTGCGATTCGGGTTTTTATCTCCCGAGGGGAAAGTCTACCCGACAAACGAGAATCAGGAAAATAGGATTTGAAGGTCCGAGGGACCGAAGAGAAAAAGAGTAAAAAAAAAACTGTCCATTTTCGTGGAGAATATGAGAGGAAAAATTAGCTCCACGGGTATCAGATGCGAGAAAATTACTCCTGAAAATTCAACAGCCTTGACATCATCCAATTTTCCTGGAATTAATCTATTCCTGAAAAATCAGGTGACGGTTTAAATATTCAGTGGAAGAAATTTTCCTGTCGATGCGACAACAAGAGAACGGAAAAAACAATACCATGTACTATTTTCCTGAATTCCAATCGCATTCGTGAATTTCATTCCGCGACAGAATTTCCGCGACGGAATTTTTTCAAATCAAAAAACCGGCATTTGAAAATTATTTTGTCTGTATAAACAAACGGATAAATTGAAGTAACGACTGAATTTTCTCTATTGCACCGTTATCCTCTTTTGATGACGATAAAAAGAATAAATGTCATTCGTATGTTTTATCTACACAAAAATTTCAATATCACGATTCGCTGGAGAACGGGGTAATCCTCGGATATACAACGTCCGCATATGTGACGGCAATATGGAAAGTTATTGAAGCTTTACAATCTGGAAAAAATGGGAATCAATCATCGGAGAATAAACGTAATAGAATATTTTCAATCAGTCGCGTTTTATCTTTAAAACACGGAAGTCCCCGTGCCCAATTTCCATTATTTATCACGTATTTGTTGACTTATGACTCACCCCCAGGTGGTCAAACATGAATTGCGTGCCCAGAAGACATTCACCTGGTATCATCCCCAATTTTATAGAGACTCTTCGAACAATTTACCCGGAAATCACGAGCCCACCGTGTTCCTTTAAAAAATTCGAATTTAACGCGTTTTTCACGGCTTTTCGTCACGATTTTATTGGACAGAGGGTGGATGAGGGTTGCACCAACTGTCGGTCAATTATTTGCACTCGAGGGCTTTCAAATCGATCCGAGACACCTCCGAAACAGAGGGAGCCCCTCAATTGTTCACCAGTAAATATAATTATTAATAATCATTGATTATTTATTGGAGTCGAGGGGAAAATAGATAAATGATTATTTTTGGTGATGATGTCTCGTAAAATAAATAGGAATGCTATTGGAATTTAATATGAAGAGCAATCGCGTGAGGCTAATGTTAGGTTGAACCCTGTGAAGGGGATGAGGGCCCAGGGGCTCGTCGCAAAGTGAGAACTGGAAATTTCACCCAGGGGTGCGTCAGTTGCAGTATCGATCCGCGATGGTGACATCACGCACCTGCAGATCCCTCGTACCTTCATTTCCAAAACCATGGAAAATGAAAAAAAAAAATCGACAAAACATTTCACCCCCTCAGAATAATTTCCACCCCGTGCCACCGTCAATATCCGAAATCTCCATAATCGCACCGAGAGGAAAGAGCGGAAACCCAAGGGTTGAAATTGGCAATTATCGTAGGTAATTGAATGCCCACGGTGCATTAAAACAAACTTCCACCGAGTCCATAGACCCATCATAATTAATCCCAGAATTCGATTGGTATTAGTGGATTCCGCGATAGCAAGTTTAACATTTGTTGAAACTCACCTCGATTATACTCTGGAGAAGGTTCCGGGGGATTAGAACTCCTCCACGTCGAGAGAGAACTCCTGGGGGAACTGTGATGTCCAGGGGAAGTCGTGGAAGTCCCATAATCCTTCATCAACACACACAAAAAAATAATTAATCCACTGAGCACTTGATATCGATAAAAATTGATAACAAGTCTTCATTTTCCTGGGATTGAAATATTCATTCCGTAATTCCATCCCAATACACAAAATTCAATGTTTTTTTTATATCTCATTGCTCTATAGATGTTCTATAAATATCCGGCGATGAAAATTGTTAAAAATTTACATGTAAATGGAAAATGTCAACATTTATTTGCACTTTGAAATTTCGTAGTATCCAATAGCTTTTTTTATCGTTTTTTTATGGACGAGCTATTTTTTTAAGAGTTTGTTATTTATATTTCCTCCGGACCCACAGAAGAATTCAAATATAAAAATGGAAAATTTTTCAATAAACTAAATCTCTGAAACAATAAAAATTGTTTTTTTTTTAATTTCTCCTCCATCTTCAATAATCGCCAATAACAATAACAATAAATTCCATAAGTGCACAACTGAATATTTACTAAATGCAATCAAATAAATCGAAATTCGTAATTGAACTCACCCTATCAGGATGTCCCCCAAAAATTGCAACGATCTCCAAAAAAAAAATACTTCCAAAACGACCTCCACTACCAAAACACTGACTATCCCAAAAAATGCATCCCCCCGGCGTCAATTTCCCGGATGAAAACGATAATTTAATCTCAATAAACACAACACCATAACCTCACCAAAAATAAAAGTGACACAACAACTCCGAAGGGTCGAAGGCGAAAACTCCCGAGGCCATCCGAGCGCCATAAACCCATGGGTTTCTCATTCGAAAAAAAAAAAAAACCGGTCGCTATTTTCACTGATTTCTCTTTCCCCCATCACCTGATTTCTCTCATTATCGTAGCAATAATCAATCAACAATAAACAGCAATCACCAGTGCCACAGAAAAACCGGTATAAATAACTACTCACAATTCCCGTACCGATTTTCTCGCGATCGTCAGTCAGATCGAATGAAATCATGTGTAATCATGATATCGAGATGACAACGAGCCATTCAACAATTTCTCGAGTCGATTCCCGCGATTCCCGCGATTTTCTCTTGTTTTCCCCTAATGGTGGAGACACCTGATGACAAATCGTGGAAATAGCGACAGAACGGCAAACAAAAGACAAGCCGGCACATTGTTGAACAATTGTAGTGATAATTGGTAATTGAAGGCGAAGATAACGGGACAATGGAGGTAATTAACATCGAAACAATGATTTGTTTTCGTATTGCGTAACAATAACGTTTTATTATCGTATTTGTTGGTAAAAGCCTCGTCGTATAAAACACCTCTGTACACGTTATCAATTACTCTCTAATTTGATAATTACGAAGGACGTGATCATTCTGTAATGAGAATTTCGATAAAATTTATGAGTTTAACGTATCGATTGCACCCTACAAGAAAATTGTAAGGTATTAAAATGGAGGATGGCAGGAAAATGGACGCTAGAATTTTTCCCGCGGTTTATTCCTGAGGTGTGAGAATATTCTCTGGAAAAATTCAGAGGCCATTTTTTTTTCCAGTTCCTCCGATGGATCATACGAAAATATCAATTAAATATCACGATGATTTTTCGCATGCTTTTTTTTTTATGATAATTGATGTTGGAATTGTCAGAGCTAGTCTCAAAATGGCGGGCCTTTTTCGTTATTTATCCGGAGATTTCGGGGGATTCTGACACGATTTCATTTAATTACTTCGCTAGTTCTATTTGGATGGGTTAAATGAGGTAATCATCCACAGAAAAAAAATATCAGTAAAAGAGATGAGAAAATGGCGGGAAAGTGATAAACACTAGGACTGGCCCAGAGGAGATTCTCTGATTCTATGAAAATTCTAATCTACGCAACACCGAAGTGGTAAAACGTGACATTTCCATCGACAATGGATTTCTCCCCGAATTCTTCCCCCAGGAATTTTTTTTATCACAAAAATAAAAACCAGTCGAAAGTCTCGATAATCCCTGAAACAATCGAGATAATTAAATTTTATTACGGCACGTTTATCCGAAAATATCAGATCTCGTTATCTATTACGTTTTCCACTTCGTTATTGCCTCATTACGTATTTCTCCTTAAACTAAATCCCTCAGGCCCCAGGAATGCTCGAGGTATCCCCCAAGTTCTCAGCGACATGTTTGAATTCTAGATTCCCTCAGAAGGAGTCGTCCATCGTCAAAGTGGAGGAGTTTCTGCTGTCCGGAGACTGCCTCATGGCGACGTATCTCCTCCGGAGGATCTCCTGAAGATCATTGCACGGACTGTTTTCCCTCTTCGGACGCAGAGGACGACCTCCAGGTGACCTGACACGAGGGGTGAGTCCCAATTTTTAAAATAACACTGAATTATCCAAGCGATTAATTATCAATTATTATTATTAAGAGCTTGAATTCATCCAATTGATTCAATTGAATTAAGAGAAAGGGGATGTGAATGGGAATAATTAATGTGGAATTCTACCTCTCGATGGGTTTTAATTTAACTTTGTCGATGTCCTTGAGCATATCTCCCATCGATTTTTGCACTATCAGAGGCTTCTTTCTGTCCTCTAACTTGTGATCCTGGAGGCTTGATCGTCTCGCTATATGCGGTGTTGTAGGTGGTGGCAGGGGCGGGGGCTGGGGTGGTTGATGGGTTTCTCTGATTGTGTTTCCATTTGATAAAGAAGCCAGTGACGAATCTGGAAAATAAAATATCACTCGAGATTCGTGGCCTCCCCTTCATTTTTTTTTTTCAACTCACGATGTGTCTTTCCATGGCTTGAGGTTTTCACTATTAGTGATACCTGCGTCCTCAATTCCTGGAGCTCCTGCTCCAGCGCTAATAGTCGCACCTCAGAACCAAAACTAATTGGCTCTAACAAGTCGGGTTTGCTACCAGATAATCTCCCTCTGAGGACAGAAGAAAATCAATTATTAATGTTTAGAAAATATTTTTTTTACATCCTGAAGAAATTGTTTCGAGAAAATTTTTGCCAGTATTTCTTCAGTAATTTAATTTCATCGGGGGTTTTAACGTGAAGTTTCCACGACAACCGATTTGTTTTATTGCACTATAAACCCCGGATCGATAAAATAAAAAGCATAAAAACGGGAAATTCTCGGAGGATGATCTCCCGTGATAACTTACTCGCCAAAATCAGAATTTCCAGTCACTCCATTGCTCTCCTCATTGATCATAGAGCTGGACATGGAATGAAGTGCTGTCACACTGACATAAATCTTGGGTGGAGGTTTCAACGGTAAAAACGATCCAATTCTCCTGACAATACTCCGTCTCCTGCCATACACCTTAGGCACCTCCTCCATAGCTGAAAATTCCAAATTAGTGATGAAAAACCTCGCGCCTAATTAATTCCCTAATCGGTTGAGACCACCACCTCAATAATCAATCGTTTGACCCAGAAATGTATTTGTTACACGTGACCCAAATACCTTAACTAAAAATACGTATTGACGCACTCGCAACAATTCGCCTCAACAATTACCATTCTGTCGTTTTTTAGTCGGAGTTTATTTACTAGTTACAAAATCAAAATTCTTTCCTCTTGCCCTATTTTGGGAAGACAGCCAACAGCTGACGACAGGTTGTTGTTCTGTCCAGGACGAGGGCATTCGCACGCTTTTGATGAATTATTATTCCCCCTATTAATTTCTTGCCTAAATTCGAGATTTATTTGCACGATAAATTCACGAGGGATTAATGTGGGATATATTCTTTAATATTTGTGGAATGGGGAAAAAGTGCATGGGGATCGGGAAGAGAGGGAGAAGATATCTCTGCACCTTCAATAAACCAAAAAATGATGATGAAAATTTATTTGTTGAGGGGAAATGATGTGAAAATATTTTTAAACCATTCAAATACGATTTTACTTACTTTGGAGTCGAGTTGAGGTTGTTTTCAATATTTTTTACCCTGGAGATGCTTCAGTCACGCCGTCCACCGGGTGTGAGCACTAGTGCAACGAGATGAAGGAAAAAAATTCGATGGCGTCATGCACTCGCCGTCAGCTGACGCCATCTATAATTTATCCCCGGGAATTTTGCGGATTTTAATTAATTGCATTATAATTTTTACCTGAAAAATTCATCCAAGTGTCGAAAAGTGAAAGTGAAAAATTAATTAGTTGGAAAAATTTCTGACATCTTCGTCGCCAAATTAATTATTACGGCACAGTAGTTGGTTATTTTTTTTGGATATGGGATCGGGTGAATAAAAAGACAAAGGATAAACAAGTATTAAATATATTGGAGGAGAACATCTCAAGCGCAAGATAAATTTAATTAATCTTCGCGTCTATTTAAATCGAGTAAAACTGAGTTGTGACTGTGGAGGACTGCATTTCAATCTGTCCCATTTTAAACTGAAGTCTATGAAGCCACCGGAGTAAAACAGAATTTGACTCTCGTCTCGTGGAGATGAACTGTTCAGCCATCCGCGTGGGAGGAAAATTCCTGCAATTCTGGAGGCGCATCTGGAGATGCCCGGAGAGCTGAAATAAAAATTGTATAAACCCACGAAAATGCGAAAATTGGACGACCGATTGATATTATACCTGTGCGTGGTGGGAGTAGAGGATGGGACTCCAGAGAGGCAGGAGTTTGCTGAGGAGGACAGACTGACACTCCAGGAGAGCCTCCAGAAGACTGAGAAAATGGAGATTCACCATTTCTGCGAGCTGAAACGAGAGAAATCGTGAGGCTCTCAAGACCGATAATTTATAATAAATTCAGAGGGAAGAACTCACGACTTTCGAGGTCGACACGAGCTGGAGGATCGATGGGGTGACCTTACCCCAGAATTCCACAAGAATATTCATCGTTACATTGTAGCTCTCACTATTAGAGGAATTGTTTTTCGATATTTCCTCGAGATAGACCGTCCACAGCTGGAAGTCAAGATATAATTGCATTAATTCTGATTAATCAAATGAATTCCGACCCTGAGAGTGACCTCACCTGACAGAGAATAAAAGCATGAAAAAGTGAGGACATCTGGAGGACTGAGGCCTTGCTCTGCTCAGGAAATCCAGAGAGTATCACCTGGATGTGATCAGCAATATGACATGACACCTCCTGGGGAATGGGTTGGGCGATGGAAACAGGTGGTCCATGACTGTGAGAGCTGTTGCCGGAGCTCATGGCAGTGTGGGTGAGAGCCCCGAGTAAAATCCACGACAGGAGCCTGATGTGGCCGATTGTATCGACATATTCTCTCGCCCCCTGTGGCACCATCGAGGGTGCACTGTAGAGCCAGGGGAGATACCTGGCAACAGCCCTGTTCTCACGATTATTACCGCGTGTAATTTCGAGTGATAAGTACTGAGCGAATCCGCACTTGAGAATGCCACCGAGGGTGTCCTCGTTGAGGCCCTCCTGCATACCCTTGCTGTAGCTCTTGATTTTGCTGAGGGTGTGGAAATCCGCGAGAAAATCCAGGATCTCCGGTATCTGATTCCTCAGGGACTCCGAGGCGTTGGTGTTGTAGATCGGGGGTAGAATTTCACTCTGAGTTCCTTCAAGGACGACTGTCGAGGGCAGGCCTCCACCCACGTCCTGTAAAACAAATTGCAGAAGGAGGAGAAAATTGTTGTCTGGTATCGTTGTCTTGAATTTCATCGCTTGCACCAGCTCGAACACCGTTGTTCGACCCAGGAAGTGCTTATCACGCTCCCGTACGTATCCCCTGTGACAGAGATAGCACAAGTCCGTCAAGTAGCTGTACTTCAGGTTTGAGTGCTGGATTGCGTAGCTCAGGACTTTCGAGAATGGATCCAGAATGCTCTGATGGGAATTAAATTAATTTATCGCATCAACAACTCACTCCATTATTTCAAGAAAAATTTCGTGTATTAATTCCCTCATACCTTCGTCTGCTGAATTCCTGGTACCTTCAGGATCGACACCATGATCCTCAAAAGAGGTGTGATATCCTCGATGGAAGCCAGCATGAGTACCAGTCTCCTGAAGAATCCATCGAAATGAGCCAGCAGTCCACTCCAGGTGGCAGCCCCAGGTCCCAGTCCGGCCTCCAGGGGAAGACAATCCAAATAGCAAGCCACATTATGAAGAATTATCGGTAGATTATCCACGGGAAGTGATTTCTTTCCATTCAGCGTCTGAAAATATCCAGTTCCATGATTTCTTCGAGTGCGTTACACCCTCGAGTCTCGAATTAATTACCTCGAGCAGCAGCTGCAGTGGTGCAATGGGATTGAGTTCATTGAAATCAACGAGTGCCTGTGCAACACTCCTGAAGAACTCCATCCTCGTGGCGTCATTGATGTGAGTCTGAAACATCTGCATGAAGATTCCATTGGGTGCGAGTTGATGGAGAACACACCTGAGAAATTGATGAGCAACGCTGACAGCACCACCAGGTAGATGCAAATTTGTTTCGCTCTGCCAGGGATACATGGCATTCTGAGCGACTTTGGTGACGATTCCGAGGATATCCGGGAGTAATGGAGCTGCAAGTGCTGGTTCACGATGAATAAATGTCCCCAGAGTGATGATGCAAAGGCCGAGCTCCTCGTCTGAGTACTCCTCCTTGACAGTGCCACACTCAGAGCACCTGTCATAAATACAATCATCACCAACTCGGAATGTACTCTGCTTGAGATTAAAATCAGCATGACACGCCTGTTGAGCAGTTGCATCCATATTTCCCTGAGTGTTGGGCCCAGCCCAGGAGTCCATTCTCCTGGTTGATCCGATAACGTGGTGACTGGTGCTTGGATAGGCCCTTCGTCTGTCCCTCTGTGCCCTAGCGTGATCCTTCAGTCTTCCTCGTTTCTCATGATCGAGAACCCTGAAGCAAAAATCATCAGTCTCCACGACAGGCGGTGGTGACTCCAGTGCCACCTGTTTAATAAGTCTCCTGGGGCTGGCAGACCTGCTGGAGGGTGGATCTGCTGTCACGAGAGGTGCTGACAGACTCTCAGAGGCAACGCTGTCCTGATTTTGGGGCTGAATGATCTCGTGGTCCTGTTCGATGATCTGACCACTGTCTTCCAGCTCTGGAACCCCCAGTGCTTGTCTCACACGCTCCACTAAACCAGTGACACCCTCTCTGCTCATCCCCACTGGGAGTAATCTCTCTGGCATGGGAAATTCCAGTTGCGACATACTCCTGGGGCTCGTCATGTCGCTGGAGGCGCAGGTCTCGCTGTCTTGCTCGAAAGAGGAGTTCACTGTCAGTACGTCCATCTTCGAGAGTGGAGATTCAGGAGAGCCATAAGCTTCATCACACCTCAGAATCCTTGGATTTGGCCGGGCCAGGGTTGACCGAGCAGTGGTTCCTATTGGCAAGAGCCTCTCCATCGTTGGTGTTGTAATCTGGTGTGGATGCCACACCGGGTGCTGGCCATTATCCGTCGACGTTCGCTGGGATGAGATCGAACTGACAGCTGGACTACTCGAGTCATCACTTCCACCGGCTGTCAAAGTCTGACAGGGTGAAACGGGAGAGGTCAACGGTGGGGTCTGCTCGACGTTCTTCTGTCTCCCCAGGTGTTTTCCCCCGGGTGTCTCAATGTGCTCAGACTTGGGTGTCACTGGACTAATTTTTTCAAACGGTGGAGACTCTGGTTTTGATTGACGCGCGATTCCAACCGTCGGCACAAGAGCTGTTATCGTTGTTGGGGGCCTTTGTTTGAGATCGACTTGACCCTCTGGAGATGGCACCGCCTTCTCCGGAATGCTCAGGGTCTTTCCTGGAGGTTTTGACTTGAAGTCGTGCTGACCAGTCAGCAGCGTACTCGCTACCATCATCTTCACCCCCTCCTGAACACTCCATTTCTTCTGAAGAGCCGAGGGTTTACCCTGGGATTCAAAAAATCGATGTACCCCGGGCATCATTTCATCAGGACTAATTCTTACCTGGTGAGGATCATCCTCGTTACCGAGAAACCATGTAGGCCTCGATTCGGTTTTCACTCGGTCTGGCTCTGGTGTCGAGTCCATGCGGGTCAGAAAACCCCCTGGCATCGACGTTCTCGTCATCATCATCATCATCGAGGCGCTTCGCCCAGCGAGGGTTGAACTGTCCTCAAGTTCACCCAGGGAACCACTGTGCAAAGTACTGTCGGATTTCGGACTCTCGGGTATTGCAGCGAGCTCGGACTCCGTATCATCGGGATTGCTTTTTATAGCGATTTTTTGGTAGCGAATTATTTCAAAGCGAGCCAAAGCAAAGCGACTTAAGGGCCTAAATACTCATTACTAAAACAGGTACCTCGTGTGCTTGTTGGCGTAATGCGACGCCGACTCTTCCCAGTGAGTCTCCATGGTGTGGGTCTGGCCCAGGGTCGGCCCTGGGCTCCTCTGGTGAATGGAAATTATTTGCGCGCGCATTGGTGGGCTCTCGCTGTCTATTTCACCGATTAAATCGTGCTCAGCCCCAAGAGATGGCTGGGAAACGTCTGACGGTCCCAGAATTATTTTTCTCATTACCCCATGACAACCGTAAATTTTCTTATTAAATTTTTTCTAAATATCAAGAAGCTCTCCAATGAAAGCCCTGAGAAAAAATTTTATACCGTCCGATTTTTGAGCAATCGGCGCAGGTGAATGTGACCTAATCATGGAAAATAAATTATCATTCGGATATACCGTTTACCTCGTGAACGAGAGGGCGGCCCAGCCATCACCACCATCGGTGGAATTCTCTTGCATTGGTGATGCTGAGCGTCCAATGTATTTAAAACGATTTTAATCAATGATTGGAGCTGCGTGCACCAGGGCTGCTGTCCATACTGACACTGCAAAATGATCGCTTAATTTCTAGTCCGATTACTCATCAAGTGGATGAATCGACAAACCTTATAAAGAACAACCAACAAAGACATGAGCCAGGAGCGTCGTATATGAGGCTCGAGATACCACAAGCTGTACGATACCGATTGATGATCAATGGGTGGTAGCTTTGAGGGTGGACATGGACAATGTTGAAGTACAGCTATCACGGGAGGAATCATCATCCACCCCATTACATGATTCTGATCCAACAGCTGTGGTAAATTAGCCATGAAAACATTGAAAACCGAAGACAGTCGAAGTCTCTGAGGAGACAGATGAAAAACCCTCTCCGTCTGGTTGTACCCGAGCAGAAGATACAGATGACGAAGGACAATTCCCTGGGTCTTCGAGAGGGGTTTCTCATCGGTGGGATAAGCCTGAGGAGAACGTCGGTTCATTAAACCACGACTCAATGCTCCAGATGCACCAGATAAAATCACCTGATCAGTCCTCGACAGGAACTGCATGAAGAGAAAGACAAGGAGATGCATCGTCTCCTTGTCCGCCTCCTCGAGCTCGACGATTTTGTGAGTGTACCCTGGCAATGCCCCGACCTCATCCACAATATTCAATGAATGAACGTGACCATCTGCAAGACAACCGCAGCCTCAGCACTTGTTATTGATTATTATTCTTCTAGATGATCTACTCAACTGAAGTGCATTGCGATGTGTGCAGAATAATCATGCAACCAATCAATACCAGTGTAGATGGACTCGATTTTAAAATCTTCTCATGACATTCCGACTTACCGATCTATCAGTGTTTAATCTATTATCTCCTAGAATAGTTTCCGTGTGACACTAAGAAGGCACATTTACCAGATAAATCCATCTACAGCAAGCATAATACACTACTCTACCTGGTAAACTGTTATTAGGCGGGGTTGGCCCCAGCAACTGACCCAAACCAAATCTCGAGCTCTTCCGCTTCAATATTGGCGCCGAGTACTGGCGACTGTATATTTTTTCCTTCTCTGCGAGATAAAGCGGATAAAGCGGGGAATTGTGATTTTTTTTTTACATCTGGGGGACATATCGCTGATGAATTGTACCTTGTTTGGTATCCTGACGGGGAATCATCGACGCAGGTGCCGACATTGTCCGCTTGTACGGCCATTTAGTACCGAAACTTGCGCTCAGTGTCTTTACCGAACTGGCTCCACTACCGTCCGATTGAGAAAGGGCCTCTTGGGCCCGATGTAATTTTCGCATGAACGTGTCACTGTTCATGTCGGTATTCCTCAGGTCTGAAAATAAATTTCAAATGGAAACACGTAACACGTGAAAATTGAGGTGACGCACCTCGCAGGCAGGATATATCACCGGACTTTTCGAGACTGATTTGGGCCTCGAGGAAGAGGGCGTCGAAACGATTCAAGAAGAAATCCCACGTGAGGATTTTACGATCGCTCAAACTGTTGTGGAGTTGGTAGAGAGATTGAAGGACCATCGGCCTGTCGACGATCACCGAGTCGAATTGTGTCTCCAGACAGAGGATGAGACTCTGGGAATTACGAGGACGTCATGTCTCAGGTGTTGATGATTTAATTGATGTACTCACCCTGACAGCCGTGTCGTGGATCGTTCCCAGGTTGAGGGTGGCCCTCTGGGCGACGTAGACGTTGCTGTCGTCCATGCTGCTGATTAGGTAGCAGAAGGCATTCGCCAGGGCCGCTTGCAGAGTGAAGACACTCCTCAGGGGAGTTGAGTCCATGAATCTCGCTATGAGGGTCACCCTCTCGACGGCCACAAATCGAACCCGCCAGTCTGAATTGTGGAATTCCTCCTGGACGAGCCGCCAGAATGTATCAGTTCCGCAGTGAAGGGTGATGCAGTGCAGCAGCAGGGGCACCGTCACCTGAGCTATGTGGGAGTGCTCCGCGTTCAGCAGCTCCCATAAACTGGAGCAACGGCAATTGAGTCAATTGTCTAGATCATCGGAGAACTTAACTATCCAAAAGTGTCTAAACTCACTTCTTGATGAGAAGATTTTCCTGACACCAGATGAAGAACCCCTGATGATCCTTGACGGCTGTGGTGAAGGCATCACCGTGGAGGACCATGACGTTGAGACACTGCAGCATGTAGTAGAGAATATCGGGTGCATCCACGGTCTCTATCTCCTTCAACAGTTTGTGGATGTACTGCAGCTGCTCCGGCAGCTCCTCGATGTTGAACCTGAATTTTCCAACACTCGTGTGCCAGAAGTCATCGCCATCGGCTTCCAACGTCGGACTCACTGGCTGATCGTCCTCACCGATTATGTTGGCCTTGCCGATGTTGGCTGTCGCAGTCGCTGACGAATAATTCAATCAATCCGCACGTGCAACCGGCAAAGCTAATCGTGCACTAGCTGAATAAAAAATCAATGCAACTCACCGACATCCGACTCAGACAGTGTGACAGCTCGAGCAACTGCCGACATGACCTTCTCCGCTGGCAAAATAGCAGCAAGATCGAGTTGCTCAGAAACTGTCTCTACTGTTGCTGTCATGATCTGTTCGAAGAACTGAATTTAAAAAAATGGTAGGAAAATGTAAATTTTTCATAAACATCGAGATTAATCCTACCGTATCGTTGGACCGGCGCTTGTTCATCATCACACAGAATATATACTTTTATTTCGATAAAAAAGAAACATCCAAAAACGACATATCGATATGAAAAAAACACTGATGACAATTGGTGTATATACATTTATTCAACAAAGCACAATATTCGGTCAGTGATCGATGGGGAATGATCGTTACCTTGCTGACGTGGGGCATGTGAACTAGAACACCGGATACAGGATGCATCTCAGCTACAGGCATATTTATAACGACATCCGGTTTTGAGTCTCCCTTTTTCGACGACTCGGGTGGACTCTTCCTGCCGTGATCCTCAGCTGACTCGTCAACGATCACCTTGATTAATCAATTTTAATTAATCAATGAAAAACAGCAACGACATATAAAAATACCAGGTGTTATCAATAAAATCGACCCACATCCGGTGGATTAGCTGGATTCTCCGGGCAGAGGTACATAACGAGCTGGAGACACAGCTGATGCCAGATAATCCTGGACTCGCAGTAGGTGCACTCATTCTCCTCTTTGCACGAGTGACAGTCATTCCAATTAGCAGCAACGATGGATTTCATGAGGTGACACGCGTCACGACACACCCAGGTGTTGATACCCGTGTGCCTGTCGATGTCCTGGAGTTCCATCTGCTTGAGAAGAACGTCAAGCATCAGAATACAGCAGGACAGATTGAGTTCGGCATTCGTAGTGAACTCCATGTGCCTCTGGATGGGTGCCATGTCGTCGGAGAGAGGAGTCGACTGTCCAGATTCATTCTCCACAACTGGACATATCATGTTGGGATCCTCGTCATTGGTCTTCGCTGCTCTGTACGTTTTCTCATTGAAATCCGCTGTATTCGTTGTACTCATCACAGCAACACCATCACTGAACATCGAGAACAATTGAGTCAGAGGAATAGTGATCTCGAGCATCGTCAGAGTCTGCAGCCAATTGAGGGCTTGCTCCTGGACATTTGCGCTGGTATTGATAAATCGTTTTGCAACGAAGTTGTACATCTTCTTGGCGTCGAAGCCCAGGGGACTCATCTCCGTGTCCAGAATTTTGCTGAAAAAAATATTAAGAAGATCCTCGTAAACGATTCCATCAATTAAATAAATCTAATTGTACCAGAGAATCATCTTCAACTCGTGGAGCTCATTCTCGGGCACATCGTTGACCATTGCCTCCATCCAGTGGGGCATAACGTAGTCCCATATCTCGGACGTGATGACCTCGTATGGCACCAAACAAAATAGCCTGTTGAGGCCGTCCTTCAGGTGAGACGTCCTCGAGGCCAGGGTCTCCCAGTGACCGCCCACCCTCACATAATCCGCTGGATGCGGCAGCAAACACGATATGAACACCTGATAATGGGTCTTCATAACTTCACCCAACCATCCGCACACGTACTCCGTCTTGAGTTTCTCTAGAGTGCTCTCCGCTTGTCCTAGAAGCCCATCAACTCATAAACATTCACACCCAATGCCTGATTAATTACACTGGAGTAACAACATGCATGAAGTGAGCCAATGATTTTATCCATGTCGTATGATTTATAGGCATTCCAATGTCTAGTACTCAGCCGCGATGCAGACGCACTCTTGTACACAAATGACAATTAATTAACGTAAATAACATGTGATATGGACACATCGTTTGGGTGTATACGTGCACACAGATACCAAAATTTTACCTCCCCGTGGGCCCAATGGGTCGTCAAATCCACTGAATAAATGAACAATACATTTAAGGTAGAGAGAGAGTGAGAATGTGCCTACCATCGCGGCAACTATCTCATCTAGATTCTATTGAAGTAGTGAAATGGTAAAATTGTTATCAATTGGTGATTACAATTGAGAATTGTATCAACCACTTCACTACCTAATCTACTGGTAGAGTAAGTGGTAAAAATGCAAAAGTTTTTTAAATTACCAACAGAAAAGATAAGGTGCATAAGGCTTTTTTTAGTACCATCGAATGAGTACGCAGTGACATGAAACCAATGAAATAACATTGATAATAAACGTCCGAGTATTTCAATGGGTGTATCACGATTTGGTGTACAAAGTCCAACAAGTAGCCAAACACCATAGCGACCGAGTAGTTGACGTTCCTCGAGGGTCGTTGGATCGCAAAGTCCTATTTTTCCACCAACTCCACTACCACTAGCACCAGTAACACTCCCTGGGAATCCTATGCCGGCCTTATTAGTATTTAATTCGGAGGGATCTCTGTTAGAATCCATACTTAGCGGTTCTGCCTCCTTAAGCAGGCTGTAAAATCAAAATCAGTGATTAATATCCAGAACCCCGAGGGAGAGGATCATCTAGAGATAATGACTCCACCAAGATCCTCACGGTTATTTTAAATAGAGCAGATTAGAATAGGCTGTGAGATAAATCGGAAATTCTAAATTCATTTTAATCCTAGACTGCTCACTGCACTGATTTTATTTTTTCATTTTTTTATTTACTTAGTGGTCATCAAATAAAATCGAGGAACGTCGGGGAATCCCCGCGGACACCAAATATATGTTAACTATACGCGCATATATTTGCGATAAAAAAAGCAATATGTCAGGAATAATTTATATATATTTTTGACGCGATTATTCATGATGTGAGTAGTCTAGGTTCAACGAACAATTAATTCCTCTTGAAATTTCTAAACAAGTAGTTCTGTACAGAAAATAAATTCGATAGAATTAGTCAGGTGTTCAAGGGAATCCCAGTGTCTAGAGTCACGCCGAGAGCCATGCATGGATTATCAGATAGATATATTTACGTGTAGGAGATACAAGTGCTGTGTTTCATGCACTGTTGTAAATGATAAAAATCATATAATTCGTTTGGTTTTGTCCATCCATGGTGGTCTTACCAAGCAGCATGGAGGCAGCTGACATAGACGATAAAGCAACAATGACCTGCGACCTTTGATTGATTAGTGAGGCCCAATGACAATGATTATTCATATATTCATTAACATTAAACCAATGACACACATGCTCATTATTTAATAACAATAATTCACGATTTAATCAACGTATCGTCGATTGTCTGCTGTCACGGTTGATCAGGTCTAGTGATTCTGGCAGTTACCTGACAATGGCCTGCACCAAATAGGTCTGAGTCTGATTATCCATCTCGGAGATGTGAGGAAGTGCCAGATGAAACACGTGATCTCCACCTCTTCGATTATTATGTCTGATGTTGTGACACTGTTGGCAGTAGCGGATCGGATGATTTCCGTTGTAACTCGCGCACTCCGTCGAGAAGCACACGCTTATCGCTGATTTGTCCGTGGCTCGACAATTCTGGAAAAATGACAAATAATTTCACATCTCAGTCAATATCCCACGAAGATTCGCCGATCGAAGCCGATCAATAATCCACCTTATTCTCGCAGACCATGGACACCTGCTGCATGGGATGAAGAATATCGTAGAACGTCTCATTAGGACATCCTCTATGAATCTCATTAGCGCACTCAATGCACAGGTAGAGGGGCGGTGGTGATTCAGTGGCAAATGTTATGGATATTCGATGATCGTAGCAGACTTTTCCAGCTTCTGCATTACCGGAGTTGGGGCAGGAGTTTCTCTGGCAGACGAACGGCGCGAGATCATCTAAAAATTGAGTTAAAAGTTCCATTCGTTGGGATTCCCCTGGATTTATCTTCACAGATGGAATAATTACTTGCGATCTTCATGAGAACAGCTCTACGATCGAAGAGATTTTGATTGAATGTTGGCCAGTAGTAAAACAGGAGCTTTGCTGCTGATGCTTTTGCTGGGGCTGTGCCGTACGCCACCACACACAGGATATCCTTGACAACATTTGGCTTCAAGGCCATCAGACACTCCAGAAGTTGACAATGATGAGCTGGATTGCTCGAGTACTGGAAGACCATCATTATCACTGCGGATACGGACTGACTTGCGTGATTCTCGGACTCGTCCAGAGTTTTCCTCGCTGAAAGAGATTCAGATATTTTTTATGGGAATTCTGTCAGAAATTCATGGATTCTGTGATAGTGCGTACTAATCGTGAATGGAAGGATGTAGAAACACAGGTGATTAACGACTTCCTGGTGCAGCTCAGGTGGAAGAACTGATATGGAGCTCGCTGTCAAATATGGCAGATTGTCCAGGAGGTCGTGCTCCAGGAAAGGCATCAGAGACGCTAGGCACTGCAGCAGGGCTTGACCGAATGCTGGAGCAAATCCTTTTGTTTATTTGAATCATTTATTGGAAATTAATGGATACTCACCGGCTAGGCCGATGTGCACACACGAGGAGACGTCGATCAGCTGCGTCAGGGCGTTGTAAAGCTGTTTGTAGTCCAGGTTTGGGTACAGGGCCATTCGCTCGGTATCGAATCTCTGGGATTTTATCATCTCCAGGGGTGATTCACGCACTTCTTTTAACAACGCTGGAATTTTTAGGAATGCTTGACTATTTTTCTCTACATGAAGTTTTATAAATTCAACGTGAAGTTTTAATTACAGAGGAGTGTCTGGGAGAAGTACTTCACAGTATTCGCCATGTCGAATCCTGAGGGTGTGGGTTGAGTTCCATGGAGCAGCCTCAGGTAATAATCGTGGAGGCTCGACAATTTGAGAGTGTCTGAGTGAAAAATATTTGGAATTATCTCAGAACCCAGAGGCTGACGATTCTCTCAGTAGATTATTAAATTACATAATCACAAGATGTAAATGATACTCACAGGCTGCTGACCGGGTCCCCATGTCTGCAACTTCTTATCATCAAATATTCTTGCGATATGAATTTTTTAATCTCTCCTCCATCACACGTTTTGGATAAACAGATTTTATTCTGCCAACAAAACTCCCGGTGATGGTCCAGCTGGTGTCATGTCCTCACCCGAATTGCGCAATCGCGCATCGATTTTCCCGCGGGAGTTGCGCGAGAATTTTCCGGGGGGCTTTTTTTTTGTTCCACCGTTTTGGAAGGAAAGTGAGAGTCACTCTGGTGATTCATTCATGGAAATCTGGGGTGATTCAATCCCCTGTAATTCATTGATTCACAATGGATGCGGTTTTAATGGCTAAGAATATATCGCTGAACTATCTAGTCATCGATATTTCTGATGTCGATGGTATTCTCGTGAGCTCAATCCATATGACATTATTGAGACAGTGAACCCACGAATGTGTGTCACGAATAAGCACGTGATCGATATCAGTGGACGGAGCACGAGGTGCATTTTAAGGTTGAATATCGATTTGAAATTCCATAAATAAAAATACCCCGCGGCAATTGAAACACATCTGATTATTAATAACATTAATCATTAAACGATCCAATACGATCCAATACTAAAATTTATACCCAATACAAAAAATCGACGAATAACAAACAGTCGATTTTTCCGATTTCTCAGGGAGCAATAAATTTTTTTTAATGCCCTCTCCTCCCCCTAAAATTATTATTATTATATTTTTCAGCAGTCTCCCTCATCAGGACAAGTAGCCGAAATAATCCATCAGCTGATGAAGAACTAATCATGTAAAAATGAACTTTCCGAGGGAATTACTCTCCAGGGCGTTCGTGTCTTCATCGCCTCCTCGCGGGTGATTTCGTTGATCAATCCTGACGAAAATACATTCCCCTCCCCGTGATATCGATTTCACGGGGAAAGCTCATACACGAGGAAAAGTGAAAAAACATTGACGCCGTGTCTACCCCATGTGCGCTCGCGCAGGAAATACACATGGAGAATCATCGGTGGTAAAGACATTTGCGCCTGCGAGTAACCGACGATCCAAATGGTTGCCTTGGACACGTAGTGGAGCGTCGACGATGATATGACGATTCCAGTGTCGTCTCAACCCTGGAGCCGCGATCCCCTGACGTACACCATCACCGAGTACCACAGGATCGTCCGAATAAATCAGGTAAATCGAATCAACTCCATAAATAAATTTTATTTTTTAAATTTCTATAGAGTCATTTATGAACGCATTATTTGATTATCTGAGTAACGCGCTCCCTATGTCAAACTAATTACTCCTCTCCCCAGTGGGATTCCCCTTTTTCACACCATCCAATTCTCAATTTCTCTCCACTCCCGAGTTATTTCAATATTTTCGTCATCCGGCTGCACCCAGGGCGATTGATATCACTTGCAATCGTTCGCCTGTCGTCAAATCGATCGCCTCAATGTATTTTTTATTTTTTTACCGTAAATTATCTGAAAATTTGAATTTTTCCTGTTCGAAAAAAATGAAATATTCAACAAATCAATTAATCCCGGATTTAAATAATTATATTTATAAGACTTATTTAAAAATGAAGGGACGAGTGATTGGTAATAGATTTGAGGTGATCAATCATCCCTAATTAAATATTATCCACTCGAACTGATAAATTACCCCCCAGTGTCCCATGTCTCCCCATTAATCCCCAGTGAATTAATAGTAAAATACATTCCCCTCGCGAGACATTTGAAAATCCCTCTCCCCCGATTTATTACCGTAAACACACGTGGGGATTTGAATTTGCGCAATGCCACTGTCACGATTAACTCCCCACAATTTTCTCTACTCCCGCGTATTTTTTTTATAACCCAGAGTTTCTGCGTCTCAGAGTTAAAAAAGTCATGCAGTTGAGAATGAAATCTAATACTAGGGCATCTAGCCTCGATCGATAGGTGCAATTGCAGTATTCGTTGAGGTATTTATGTTCACCAGGGGATGGGGTTGGATCGACTCGGGGAAGTTGTCACGACAGAGTTCATGCCAGGGAATTGTCAGCAAGTGATTAGTCACCAGAAACTAGACCCAAGACATATTTATAAGAACAATAATAACTGCAGACTTATCCATCAATTTTATCAATCAATTGAATGACCGTTAATCGAGAAACTATTGATTTTACAATGAAATGACAAAAGATCTTTTCTGACGGATATTTATTGAACAATGAAAAAGTATTTTACCATTTTTACGAGAAATTGACAGCTTTTGGGTAAATCGGCGAATAATTCATTGAATTCACTTAAACTTTTTCCTTGATTGTTCGGTAATTAATTGTGTTAATTACGGAAAATTGCGCACTGGTGAATAAATTTTATTTGAGAGGAAGATGAAGTTAAATGTTAACAAAGACACCCGGTGATTTCTGGCTCGCCTTGGAGAATCAGTTCCTGTCTCCGCCCCAAGGTCCACCTGGCGCATGACTCAAAGAGTCAATGCGCCAGAGAGACGACCATCGCTTTTTTATTATTATAGTCACGTTGTTTGAACTGGGTGAATAATAAATTCAAGAGGAATAGTGGCATCGACGAGAATATCAAAATTTCCGAATCATTTGAATGTGCAGTGAAATTTTTTAATGACACGAGAATAATTTCCAGATATTTCTTTTCTTTATTAATTTTATAATTCATAATTAATTTTATAATTCATAATTAATTGTATAATTCATGATTAATTTTATGATTGCAGGCAGGTACTCGCTGGTGAGGTTCAGGGTCATCATGACATCCTCCAGGAACAAATTAACCTGCGGATATTCGATGCTCCCCTGACCTTCTCAGGAACATTTCTCTTGACTCAGGAGCTGCGGAAATTCTTTTGCACTTCTGTTGACGATCTTGAGGTCGAGAGGATGAGTGCGATATCTACTCTCTGCCGGGGTGACACGCAGTCCTCGGTGAACCGTCGACCGAGATCCCCAGGTCTTCTCGACAAGACACCGGACATTCAGATTTCCAGTGAGTCTCTCATTTCAATTATCAGATCATTTCATTTTAATGACACGATTTTTTTTCATCAATTAATTATTTCAATTTTGAGTTACGAATATTTTTAAAGTTTCCTTGGAATTTTCCTGACAACGAAGAATTTTTTTTTAGTCGCTAGTTTTAATTCTAAATAACGAAATCATGAATCGAAACCGTACGATCTCCACGTAAAGTGCATCGACCCCCTAAAAACCCGTTCCACCATTCGGAGTAAACGGGCCGAAGTCCAAGTCAACATATTTCCTCTCGTTTTCTCATGAATTTTCGTCATCAATTCTCCAGTTAGTCACCTGTTGTAATCAGCTCGGTGCGTCGGAAAAACGTCACAACGATTGATCAAAACCGATGATACACACTCGACAAAATAATAATTCATCCACTCGACTTTCAGTTGCCGAGGAACAAGCACTGCCCCTAAAACGCCCAGGTAATTTCACCAGTGAATTGGAAGGGTGCGATATCCCCAGGAAATCCCTCCGCCTGTCCCTGGAACCCCATCACCCAGAGGATACCATGCCATCATTGACGAGAACCTGTGTCACACTCCCGAGAATCAAACGACCCAACTTTCAGCCGTGCAAAGGTAGGAAAAACAATTTAACAATTGATCTATTATTTATTTTCCAATCACCAGACAACAAAATCACAACCAAACAATTCCCACAATTCTCCATCAATTCCCAATTTATCCACTTAAAAAAGGGATTACGTGAGAATAGTTCGCGGTAAATAGTTTTTATTATTTTAATTTTTATTTTCGAAATTATTTGACTGGGAATTAAAATAAAAACCGGAACAGATTCGGTTGAGCGTTGCGAGTGACGAATAATATTTTCCAACGAATGATTTTTCTTAACGAGAATTGATCGGTACCTTTTTTTTGCTCCTCGACATAATTACCCCCCTCGTTTGTGCTATCGGTGCGTTTTTTTTTTTCGTGACGTCATAGTGTACATTCATGCGGCCTCGTTTATCGCAATACATGCGAACATGCGCTGTTGCGCGTTGAATTATCACGAGCCCCAGTCTTCGGTGTCTCGGTGTGCGCAGTTTTCTCGAAATAATGATGATGGCAATGATAGTAATGGAAAAATTGATATCGCACTGGGGATGGAGATTGTCAGCGGTTAATTGCCGGGAAAATACTCGACAACGCCAATTTCACTGACGAAAAGTCATTCTCATTCAATTTACCCTAGCACAAAATTGCCGCAATTATCTCTAGGAACAATAATTTATTAATAATTAAATATTTCAATTAATTGTTTGAAGGGAAAATCGGTGTCGTTTTTAGAGATTAGATTTTGAAACAATTATTATTTAATATCAATTATTTTTCTATCAATTTTATTTATCATTGATAATGTTTATTTTTTTATTTCATTAAATGAAATAAGAAATTTTATTGATTTTTGGGGAATTTTTGGGAAATAATTGAGGAGTTATTCCGTTCGATCTTTTTACCGATTCTTAGAAATTCAGTGGAATTTCGGCGTAATACTGTCGAGTGTTTTGAGAAACACTTGGCAATCAACACCCGAAAATGCGATAAGAGCAATTGCGGTTTATGGCGGTGTACGTGATGATTGGACGAGTCATTCGTTGTTTATCGTTCGAATGTGTACCGATTTACTGCTTTTTACGGTCGACTCTGATTGCGCATTTGCTCATCCTGAGATCTCCCATTATTCCATTTCAAGGGATCAACAGAAAATTCCAGCCCATATTTCACACAATTGCTCAATTAATTACAAATATTTCCTTCAATTATCCTAACGCGTCGATCAGAATCAAAAGGGCGTCAACAAATCACTGAATTAGAATTTTATTTAAATGAAAAAATCGATTATAAAAATTGTATTCTCGTAAATATTAAATAGCAATTAAATAATGGACCAAAAATTTGATGAGATAAACAACATTTCGACCCAGGAAAAAATCGAAAAAAAAAAATCGGTTCGATCGCAATACGTCCATCGGCGAGGAGGGGAAAAAAAAAGTGTGAAGAGTGGTGAACTCGGTCGTCCTCGCGTGGAATTCGTTATCGTCATCCACTCGAGAAGTCCTCCCCCTCCCGTTGACCGATAGCAGCGCCTCGGGGATGACTCACCAGTCGCTTCGGGATCGCGTATTATCAGTGTATTAGTAACCACCAACACAATCATCCGCCGCGCAATGTCCCAACGAGGACAAAATACACTTACACAACATCCACGTGATCACCCTTCCCACCATCAGGTAGAATAACTTCTGTAAATGTAGATGTGGAGAGCTTTGGAGGCCGTGACGCGACCGGTCCCCCCAGTTACTGTTCAACGTCCGACGAGGACAGTCGAGCCACACCATTGATTAATCAATTACTTCCGTCTATCAATCGATTATCAGTGAAAATCGGCAAGAAATCGGTAACAAAAAAAAAATCGGTAAGAAAAAAATCGTGACAGCTCGCGGTATTCTTCACCGGGAACCGATATTCATTTGTATTTGCCGCCATGGACGTCAGGTGCTCTCGGCGCGGCTCCTTCCGGTCTGAACCTCTGGACGGCCTCGCCTGATCCCTACCGATTTCTATCCCCCCACCTTCCACCTCAGGAGGCTCAGGATAGCTGATAGATTTTGTGATCGGTTGATGTAAATAAACAGAGGCTGGACACTGCAAGGTAAGCTGCTCCTGGGGGGTGGGGATTGCCGATCATTCGGCAGAGGATCGGCAGCAGGTGAAGTGTGTACACCTGTTCGGTGCCGGTTTTATGTGTCGACGCACCGAAAATTCCACGGCGTTTACTCACTCGGAGGCTGGTGGCGCTCGCGGTACTCGGTTATTATATTTTTTTTTTCTTTCGATTTGTCGGTCTATTTGTTTTGGTTTACGCGGGTCCGGAGATAATATTAGGGGCTGAGTCACTCCGGAGAATATTTCGGCTACTGTTGAGGTGCGATTGAAAAAGCCGCGGGGATTGATCGGTTTATCACGGGACGATAACGATTTTCAAATATTCCCGACTACCGCGATAAAATTGCAGAAAAAATGATTCTTTCATTCACCATTTTTATAATCGAATTCAATTAAAACAATAATTCAAAAAAATTATAGAAAGACAATTTGAAGAAGTAAACGTTCGAATCGGTAATTCATTGCACTCGAATTAATAACGATTTGTCTTACTATCCGGTAATTAAAAATGACGTCAAAGGTGAATTGGCAAAAAGGATTTTCTCTCTTGAAGTCCGCAGAATCTAGACCTGAATATGTAATTACTCCACGTGGTAACGAGTTTAATTATCAGTCCGATCGAAACAAAGAGTTTTAAATTCAAAATAAAATCGTGAATCGACATAGAACCATTTAAAATGTGCTGTCTGAAATTTCTCTTCATTAATTACCCGAACTCCAGTTTGCCAATAAGACCCGAATCAATGATGCGATAAGCACCTGATAACACCAAAAATAAATAATACCACCTATTTCTATCCAACCGATATAATTATTAAAAAAATAAATACCCCGCGAATAATAATCCCGCAGTTGTAAAATAAAAAAAAGATGCATGAAAAAATCGATACTGTTGATTTTGTTGACTGATTTCTAGTGATTGTTTAAAAAAAGGGGGATTGCCTGAAAAAAAAAATGTCTTTCTGTCCCTGTTCAGTATCATCATCGTCTGGCATCTCTATAACTGGTATTGACGTCACTCCAATGTCGACCCTGGTGTGCTGCGAGCCGATGTCGGCGGGACGTCCCCGGGACAACCTAAAGCTCGCACTCAATCGTAGTCTTAGCGAGCCCGGACCACCGTGCGATCGTTTCATACCAACAACCCCAACATCACCAACATTATCAACATTATCAACAATATCAACAATATCATCGGATTGCAGTACCCAGGATGGTATGTCAACGAGTGCAAGTGGTGGAAGTACAAACAGCATCGACATAGGTGACACAGATAATCTACTCCATTATCACTTTTATCATCACTATCACCGACAGAGCAGTCATCAGGGCTCATCATCAATTGGTCAATCAAAACGCTGCAAACTGGAGACCGTAAGTCTCCCAACGAGTCCCTGCAATGAGGGAACAACATTACAACGACAATTAATAATTAATCAATCGAGAACTATTGATCCTGATGAATTGGCGAGACGTATGCAGCTACAGCCTGATAGCATTGTTATACTTGATTGTCGGCCTTTTATTGTTTATAATGTTAATCATGTGAGGGGAGCGATTAATGTTAATTGCTCGGACAGATTCAATCGGAGACGATTGCAAATGGGAAAGGCAACGCTCGCTGATTTGGCAACTGCCAGGGAGGGCAAGGATATTTTGAGAAAACGACATTACAAAGAGGTTGTGCTTTATGACGACTGCACTGCCGATCTTGAGCATCTACCTGTACAGCATCCATTGTTTTTGGTTATTACTGCACTTGTTGAAGATCATCGGGAGCCAACTCTTCTGATTGGTGAGTGATTTTTTATTTTTACACTTTTTTTTATACATGTTTTTGGCGATTATCTCGGGATTTAGGGAAGATATCGATTTTTTTATAGATATCTTTTTTCTTGCTCTCATCATTTTTTAGAAATAATGTTCAGGCGAAAAATTTGACATGTGCATTCGTTGCGAGGTATTGGATGAAAACTGACTTCCAATATTTCAAATTCCAAATGCATTCATCTTAGTTTACCACTTCGGTATTGAAGTGTTAATAACTCAGAAACCGCGTGACGAAATCGGATGATTTTTAGTGGATTTTAAAGGCTGAAAATAGATCTTCAAAATGAAATAAAAATCGTTCAATTTCGTTGGACCGATCCCAAGTTATCGGCGATCGAAGTCGCTCGATTCTGCTCCACTTTTCAAGCGGCGATACCGATTTTTTCTTTAGAACAGTTTTTGTAGCTCTCGCGAGGAGGAGTTGAATCATTCAACAAATAACCGTATTGAATGGAAATAATTGTCCCACATGAAATATTCACCTCCATTAGCAATTTTTTTTTATTTCACCCACTTCCACTGGTGTCGAAACAATTCTAATGTGTAGCTCACCCGGAATGCTGTGACATTAAATTCCAATTAAATCAGCACCGAGCAAACTCAAGCGCGAGGCAAAAAAAGAGATAAAAAAAAAAGAATCTAACAAGCCACGTGGTACCGATGCATGTTCCCTCACTTCTTACGTGTCTCGTGTTCCAAGGAAGAAATAAAAAAAACCTCTACAATTTGCGTCGTTGATTAGACGTCGTGCAGAATGCAAAATCCTCTCTCTGGCAACAATTTCATAAACAACAAATTTAAAATCAAACCCGAGACAATCCCCGCACCATCTGTTCTCTCAGTAAACAATTTTTAAAATCGAGAAATTAAAACCCGTAGTGATCTCACCCGCAATCAATCAATTACTCAACTAATTACCAAATCAATTATGAAATTAAAAATATCAACATTTTATAATCAACATTCACGATTCACTGAAAAATACCTTTGCTTCCAAAACAAAAAAATTTGTTTATAAATAAACAAAATTTTGTGTTATAATTAGTAATTTTATAAATATCAATTAATACCAATTAATTGCCTCGATTTTCAATAACTAGAATTGCAATTTTAATTTATTTTATTTTGTCATTAACTGTTGAAAAACTTTCTATTTCTCAAATATGCGTTCTAAGGGGTGCGGGGGCAGGGGG